GTTCTTTTATATTTTTACGATTCTTCGATCCCTGCAAACGAACAGATTATAAAGATAGCGATTCAAACTTTATCTGCAATTGCTTTACGGCCACTTCACTAATATCAATTAAATGCTATTTAGGCTCTGAAAGCGTATTTTGGTAGACTTTTTATAGAACCCTTGATTTCAGCAGACTTTTACCCCATTTAATCTATAACTAGAGATGAATGATTGCGCAAATTGGGTTTGTTTTTCCACCCCACGTATGATTGGCAATGTGGGACTCAACAGATTGCTCAAGGGGCACCAATTATAGATCTATACCTGTTCTATAGGTGATACAGGGCACTTTTGTGTCGTCGAAAATTTTGGCAGTGCCTCCCCATAAATACCCGGAATATCCTACAAAACCAGATACAGCCAAAGGTAATTGCCGTCAGTCTTGTTTGGGTTTTTCTATGTGTATACTTTTAACATTTTGGTTAATTAATCATTTGCAGTACGAGAGTGTCGAGAAAAGCGTTTTTCGCAGTGGGCAATGGCCACGCGCTGTTTGTTTTCTCATTTTATTTATACATTTCTGGCATAAACAAACGGCTGACTTGGTTTTATTTAATTTTGCCTGACAAAACATGTGAAAAATCCATTCGAGAATACGCTAAAAAAAGATGGGCGGATGATGGGGTAGAAAAAATATAATAAAGCCACTAAAAGTGTGTTGAAATGCGTTATAGCAAGCGGGCATCACGTGAGTGTTGAAAATTGATATTTGTAGCTAGTATTTTCTCGGAGTGCTGGAAATCGGGTCTGTGGGTCGTTAGATTAATGTAAATTATCGTAATTGGAGGTATGAAATGGCAAGAGGTAGACAAATTAACAGTTTATTGTTAGCTGTTGCTCTAAATATAACTCCTTGCGATTCTTTATCTTTTGCACTTGATAGCTTCAGAAGACTAAATCGAAAGTGTTCTCAGTTCAGTGTTAGTAAATATATTACCAAATATATGGTTCAGCCTTCGCTTCCTCCGTGGAAGCTATACAAAATATTCCACATAAATATTTACAATAGAATATAATTCTCCTTCGTTTTCTGTTTGCACAATGTGCTGCTAAGACTTGTTCCGAAACCCAGAAAAAACACTTTCTGAGGCTTCGCCATAAATTTGATTTTGTGGCATGGAATTTTCCTTGCCAAACACTCATAAATCCATGTTACGTATATGCTAAGCAGGAATGCCAGAGAATTCTCTTCTCGCCTGCCATTTTCCAAGTTTTTCTGCGCCTTGCTTACGAAATTTCCCACAAAAGCTATTTTCACTAGATTTGGGTGTTTCTCTACCCCTCTCTTCGCTCCGAGAGCGGGAGAGCAACGGAAAACAGCTGTTCGCTCTGTGGCGCCCGACAGTGAAATGCATAAACAAACGAAAAGAAGCAAGGAAAACAGAAATAAATCACAAAACAGAATAGCCAGAGCAGGAAACCACGAAAAAGCTCTGCAGCAAAGCTTGCACGCGCCAGGTTTCCGATCGCTCTCGTTTCATACGTACATTCTTCGCGGGGAGCTTTCATTGAGAAGGCTCGCGAATGAAACCGGCCTGTCCGCCGGAAAATATCTGAGAAGCCCGGACGCATCCGAACGCTCCGCACGTAAGCCCGTCCGAGAACTCGCCGTGCTCCGATTTTCTTGGCCGCGATCCAATCCCCGCTAGCATCGCGCGGATGCGTAATGACTTGAATTCTTCCAGCCGCCGTGGAGGTATTAAAATTGCTTTTCGATACAGCCAGAGCCCGCAAAAAATGTGATCTGAGAATTTAAATGCTAAATGTGCTGCAAATTAAATTCAAGCGCTGCCGGCGTCGCTGCTCGGGCGACAGCTAATTGCAGATCGCAATAAATTAAAACAATAAAAGGCAGCAGTGAACGGAGTGTACGAGTATAAAATACGAAAAACACAGAAATTAAGCAACACAAGAGAGAGACTGAAATCTACATAAACGATGTCGTTCTCGGTGCCAAAAAAGCGAGTGAACAAACAAAAATTTAAATAAAGCAACAAATAACAATAAAATAAAGGCGACCCACCCGTCGAATCGAAAGAAACACAAACACAAATCGAACGACAGGAGCGATTCGAGAACACAGAGTGAAAAATGGTTGGCAAAGTCTTGGGCATCAAAGACTTGGAGCAGTTCAGTAGCCGGCGCAGCAGCGTCTACGTCGATCCCGAGTGCGACAAGTTCTTCGAGCTGCCGCTCTTCATCGCGGCCAGCTCGAACGACATCACCACCAAATGCCAGTGCTTCCAGTTCAGTCCAGGTAATACAACCCGCGAGCACGACAAAGTCCAATCTTTAGTTCAAACTAAACCCAAGCTCGTGGATCACCGCTTAAGTCGGGGTAAAATGCGCTAAATACAAGGTTTAAATCCACAAATGGGTTCCTGTTGAACATAGATACTACTTGACAGAATAAAAATGTGCAATACTTCAATTTATGTGGCTCAGAGGCTCTAAAACTGCTGTGGACCCCGTCGTTTTTCGTTCTTTGAACACTTGACAATTAGCCTTGCGTTAATTGATTCAAGGATTGGTACAAGTACTTATTAATCTTGCACTTGACCCGTTTTTTCATAAACTTTGATACTTCAAAAAGATGCCTTGGGTGAAATTCGAATGTTTACTATTACTGAAATCGGTGTATTTAGTAAGTAACGCATAATTCAGTCGTAGGAGTATAGCACCCAGAAAAAATAAAACAGAGCAGCCGCGGTAATAAATCTGTTTTGATTTCCAAAATTCCCAGCTGCAGTGGAAGACAATGAATGATATTTTCGTGTGTGTATACATTATCATACTAATAGCGACAAAGCTTCGGCATTAAGGCAAATGGTATCCGCTACGTTGCTATTTAATTGCACTGCGTTTTGTGCTCCTTATCAGATTGCACACTTTCTTTCAATGGCGTTTAGCGGATTTAATGTGAGTTAATCGCTGCTGCTTTGTCTTGGGCGTTATAAGTACGATAGTAAACTGACATAATATCCAATTATGCGGAATGTTTTGAGCGGTTTGTTTCGCTGTCGCAAACAAATGAAATTGATTGCATTGATAGGAAAACTACTGCATACTGCATCTGTTGTAAGTGGAATGTGCAGTGCACGAGTGTATGGTGACGATATACACCATATATATCGCAGTTTTCCATATTCGTTGCTCGAAAAATGCAAATGGATCCGCGAGATGCCGTAGATGGGGATTAATTACCCCACAAGCGGCACAGCGACCGAACGAAGCTCCACCCAATTATACCAGTTTTTATTATTATTGCGTTTGCTGAATGAAAACACACTCACCCCATATCTTATCGCATTCGAGCAATTTGATAGTTCTCCCCGATCTTTATTGGCCTAATGCTAAACGATTTGTGTTTGAGCGATATTCGAACCTATTTTCAAATCGCGGGAAACGAGCTGGCAAGCAAATCAGTGGGTTCTGCAGCTCAGTATCTGATTTTTGCCCGATATTGATATGGCGCTGCCCGGCGCTATTTCCCTGGATTTCCACCTTATCAGTTATCGACGATAAGAGGGGCATGCAAAAATCGATCAGCTGTCGCCGCCTGTAATGAGACATGTCCGCAGTGCAATCAATTACCCCCACACCGATAGCTAATCAATAAGTGGCATTGAGGTGGCCACAGACACGGGTGGAGCAGGGTGGGGGTCTCGGCGTTGTCCTACATACGCAGTTGACCAGCTGACCGAGGTGATAGTAGATCTACGGCTGTCACCCAGTTGACACATCATCTCTGGGTGAAGTTGGGGGGTGTGGATACAACGCAGCCCAAGTGTTCGTACAGAATGCCCTTAATCCCATGGCACCTAATTAGAAACAATTATTTAATGCAACAAGCTTCTGATTTACCCTTAAAGCATTATATTTAAGAATTCCAGTAATATCAGCACTTAATTACATTTCTAATGCACACGCCGATTGGCTGTTGACTCCAGGCTTTCATTTCAAATGTGGTAAAATATTGAGGAGATGCCATTGGTTGGGTAGAATTATTTCTTTCTGGGTTCTTGATAAGGCTTAAAACATTTAAAGGCGATATCGGAATTTATTTCTAAGAAAGTTGCCAAAGACAGAAACTTTTGGGGGACCATGTCAGAAGAATTTATAAAGTAAACTTACGTCACTGGTTCCTATTTGGAAAAATCTGGTTCCAGCTCCTTTCTGCAAACTAGTCAAAGAACATTTGCTGGGTAATACATTTGTTGCGGCGACACATCAAGTAAATGTTCCGATTTCGTACCCATTTTTCACTTATCAGATGCAAGTATTTCTCAAGTATTTTATTTTGACCACTCGCGGCGTGAGTAATGTCGCCACCCTACACATTAAATTTAACTACTTATCACAAGTTCACAAGTGCCTTTTATCTTGAGCTGTGTTGATCAAAAGCGCCTCGCGCCTTTGATGATAGTGGAAAAGGTTCCTTGGACTGCCAGTTGAAAGGCTCTAGAGCGTGATAACCTCAAGAACCTCCATTATTAGCCATAACAAAAACAATCGTGTCATATGATTGTTGTATGAAGTGCCAGAAATAGCCAAAACGGCAGCCTCGACTACTTGAGGTCTTCGTGTTCGTGCTTGGTCGCATAGTGTAAATAGTCGAAGGATTAGTTCGAGTTAATGACCTAACCTAAGACAGATTAGCTTGAACACTAATCAAGTTAACACTGTATACTGACTCTCCTAATTAAATTGTACTTCAACGCCTTATCAACTGTAAGGACTGGTATCATTCAATGGAATCATGGCAAGGGATTTAGATACGATTTATAGGGAGGTATATGTATTTCGGCAAAAATAGATCGTAGATACACGGTATTTTCGAGTAAAAGGTAGTGTGCATACCGACTGGAATCTATTAATATTCTCCATTTGTAATCTACTCCCACGGAGGAGCTTATGCCATGCCATGTCTAACCGGTGCTCCCTATCTTCCTTCACAGGCAAAGAGCCGGCCCTGCGCTCCTACACCGAGATCCAACAGCTGCTGCAGCAGGGCAAGAAGCGCGACGTGAAGAACATACTCAGGGAGAACTCGTGGCCCATTAACTCCCCGATCCGAGCCCAGCTATGGCCGATGCTGTGTGGCCAGCACCAGACCAAGCAGCAAATGCTGGACGGCTTCTACTGGGAGATGGTTCACCAGGTGGGTTTCGTAGACCAGCTTCCACCCTACATTGTGCCTTATCTAATGTGTGTTTGCCTAACATTCAGGTCTTTGGCACCACGGAGCTGTCGGAGAAGCCGATCATGCTGCCCGCCTTTGTGGACGCCACCCACTGTTTGCCGTACCACTTGACCAGCACGGGACGCGCCGTGGCCGATCGCATCGTGAATGTCCTGGGCTACGACTGCCCCGATATTACCTACAGTCCAGTATTGTATCCCATTACATCGATACTTTTGCATTTCATGTCGGGTGAGTTATCGGAGTGCCAGCACTCCACCACACAACATTCCACACCTATCCATCCGCTGCACACGTGAATGTCAATATTTGATCGAGTCATTTTTATCGCCTCTGCAAGGCACACAGAAATAAGTGGCACAATTGTAAGGCCCCTCGGTTAGCTCCCTATACATCTGTAGGTGTATCTTTATACATATGTAGCTGTGTGGTGTGTATTTGGGGGTTCTAGGCGCGTATCGCATCTGGTTGCAAATTGATGTATCGTGATTTTCTGGCTAATTGAATTGGCCAACATGCAATGAGCCGCCAAATAATTTCTAATGCAAATCTAGTTATTCCTTTGTGCTGTCTGTCGGTACAGTGGAAACCGGCATTGTAGGGCTGTTCAGTCCTTGCGATTTGCATAAGGTCCACATATTTACTATTTAAAAGAGCGCACTGAACTGGTATTGCTTCTTTGCAATCATCCTTGATTAAGTCCACATGTTTTGTAATATTTATATAGCCTTGCGTCTGCATCCAATATAGTTGTATGTTGAACTGTAACCCACTGTACTTGACCATAGTCAAGTGATCAACGTCTAACTGTCTGCTTTAGTTCCGCATTTGTTGTTGCCTCTGGAAAATTGTCCGTACTACTTCATTATCAGTTAATCATTATTCATTGCTGTTATTGGCGACACAATAACAGAATCGAATATTTGACTTTGTTCACTCGGAATTCGGTTTCATCCAGTCAGGTGCGGAGTCGGATCGCCAAATGCGCTGAGTCCCGCTCCATCAATGATGGGAAAAATAATTGAATACGAAACGAACCAATTTAACTCAAAGGGATGTGAAAGTGGCTGTGAAACATTCAGAAACTCGTTTCTGAAATTCAGCACTATAATCGCTCACCGAGTATTTGGAGGTCTAGCGCTAGATTAAGTTGACAGCTGGTCATGCGAGTGACCCATTGATAGCCTCTTAATTGTGGCGATATGCATAATCTACAGAAATCTAATCAATTGCAATTGCTTAGTCCTTAACTAGATTCAATTTTCGAAATAGCGAAACAATATGTCAATAAAAATATAATTGGTAGAAACTTTTATTTCTGCTCCCGTTCAAAATGATCTCGATTCGATTTGACACATATGTGTGCACTTATGTATATTCGGGAGATGCTGATAAGCTGATTTTTTGAGGAGGAGGTCAGACAGCCTGTCATTTCGAAGGTTTGTTTACACTGTGCGAAATACTTTCCCTCCTTTGTGTCTGCCTGGCAGACAAAACTGTTCGATTCCGGTCTAGATTTCGAGGTAATTTCCCATTTTCATTTACAGAACTGTGACCCCATTGTAGAAATAGCTTTATTTTCGTCATAAGCATCGAAAGAAGTAGCAGTGAGACTCCAAGGAGAGGCAACCGAAGGACACTTGGATAAGGAAAATTGAAATGTGCGCTGCGCTCAGTCAACGCGTTTTATGTGGAACGTTCTGTTCTTCTGTTCTCAAGTTCACGAGTCGCACATAAACGAATGTTTAAACTTTAAAGTGGTATAGGTAGCTGTTTGTATTTCGATGTTGACGTCATTGCATTTGCCTTTATTTTTCGCCTCTAGCCACTTAAAGTAAACAGAGCAACAGTCGAAGTAGAACATAGGGATATTGGCGGGCTTCAAGACCTGAATACGTTTATTAGTTACCGACACACATCCAGGGTGGTGCCGCTCCTGAGTGTCTAATAACTTCTACTCCCGACGCTGCTGTAATTTACTTTTGGACAAGCAGCTGTGGCTGTGAGCACTGGTTTTGAAATTCAAGTGCTTATAGTATTTCTGCTTTTTGTTCTGGAATCTTAAAATGGTTCACGTGAGCATACAACGCACGGAGGACCGGCAGCCAAATGCGCACATGTGTGTTCCCCATCGTTTATGGATTTGTTTGCCAATTGGTTCTCCACCGTTCTGCGCCATTCTGGCTCCCCATTGTTCAGTTTGTGTTTTGCGCCCTACCCAAACATCGTCGCCGTGGCATACTTGGCTTACCCGATTTTCGTACGGAGTGCTCATCGCCACATCAAATAGTTGGCAATGCCGGGCACGCACAATTCAGATTAAAGTATATGGATATTGTGATGTACTTGTCTTTAATGGCACGGCACTCTGACGTCAGTCTTGACTCAGGTAGAGAGTGAAAATCGGAATATAGCGCTGCTTCAATTTGCATATTCCTGCCCTCTTCCATTCATATGCATGAGCTAGCTAAGTAACTGAAACGGAGGCGGGTTTCCAAGGTTCCCCAGGTGAAAGAAGGGGATTTGATGTAACACAGGTAAACAGTGTCTATCTTATCAGCTCCATTCGGAAAGCTCTAAAATCCATAGCCGTTATATCTTATAGAGCTGTTCCTAGTTTCATGATGTCTCGTATTCAGATTGGCTTGATGCTGCTCACCGCCGATTAGCAATTCAAAAATGATATTTTCGCTTTTATCTAAGTTTATAAGTGTGTTGTGTGTTTTTTCCGCCTTTGTTTTTGTCTTGCCGTATTTGCATTGTTTATGCTTGAGTTTGCTGAGCTAATTAAAGCAGGAAAGCAGATGGACTGGACTCCTGGTTTCTGTTCGTGTATCTCGGCTGTGGGTCCTTAGGCTATCTTTGCCTATTTTTAGTTGGCTAGTATCTCATAAATAACCCGGCACGTGCTCTCTGCCGTCTACCGACTTAAACTTCTGTCTCATGAGCTATACGACCTTTGTGTGTATTGAAATGTAGCTTGGTTTCTGGTTTTCTGTTTCTTTGGCAGACTCGCTTTTCCCACAGATTTAAGTCGCTATTATCAGCTCTTTGATTAATTTCAATTGAAATTGTTTACTTCTGCGTTCGCGGCGACTGATAATGATGATGAGGGGTCGCTAAAGTTGGCGCTAATGCAAATGCTGGCAGATTATTGCAATTGCAATTGCAGTGTCTAACACACGTCATGCTCTATATAAGGCAAGGGCTCTTAAATATTTAATGAACTTATCACATGTGTGCCCGCACTCCAGCTGCCTTTCCGCAATAGATAAAGCGCAGCACACCACACGTACTCCAGACCCTGCTCCAATCCGCTGGCAAATGAGAGCAATCCGCGGAATCTAAGTCGAACCGCCTGGGGCCGGTGTAATCCACTGATAAGCCGGCATAATCCGCTGATAAGGCGCTTGTTTACCCCGCGGCGTTTGAAACTAATTAAACTTTGTAATGCAGCAAATCAATCCGATGACTCCTTATCGCCTTATCGCCCAGCAAAGGTTCAAGTCGGTTCAGTGCCTAAATTATATTTAAAGTCCCTCCAAGTCCACTCCCCCAACTGAACTCCCATTGCTAATTGACAGCGAGGCGCCCACACAATTACTTCTTAAGTGCCAGCTACGCTAATTTTGAGCTCACGACTGTCTGAAAAACAGCTTGAGCAAAACTCCGACAGGGTATTTATACTCGAACACTGCGACATTGCATAATTTGATCTAATTTAGAAATCAAGTAATCGGAGCGCACATACACAGGTCGCTGGAAAAATGGTGCCGGCTAATTATGGAAATGGCAGAGGGCGTGGCTGGGGCGGGAAAGTGGGGGTGGGGGTGAGGCTGGTCAAAGTGCACTCCACAGACGGATGCTCAACGCATTCTCAATTTAATTTGCGCTGCGTCATTGCGGTAATTTGTGTGTATATAGTAGTGTGTACACCAAACCACCACAAATGCTATAAGTCGAGCTGCTGCAGTTCCACAATTAAATTGGACGCGGTTCTGGGAGGGAGGGGTGCGGAGTGGTAGCTGCATAAATTGTGGCTAAGGTTGAGCCTGTTATTAAATAGATAATTGTTGGAAAACTGCCATACGATCTTTCTTACAAGTGCCAATGGGGCGTATCAAATATCGAATATTACGTATACGCCACGTTGGGTGGCAAGCAAATAATGTGTAGCGGGTAACTATTAATGCAATTATTTTCGAAATGTGTTTTATCAGCTACATATATTCCAATTAACGGAAAGAAAAACATTTCAATAAGAAAATAATTGTCATTAACGTATTTAATGGTAATACAAACACTCTGTGCAAATAATAAATATTGCCTTAATCATATTTTCCAGAGGAGGAGGCTTACATATGTCTGGCCGGTCTGGTCGGTAGCAAGGAGAAGGTATTCATCAATCAAACGAAACTACAGCACGAAGTCACCTGGAAGACGGTGATGCAGATAGCCAAAAAGCACACGGTAAGTAGTAGACCCCCAGTACACCCATCGATCAAATGCTAATCAAAAGTGTATCGTTCAGAAAAGTGCTACTTCGTATTTCCAACGTATTTGCCCAGGCCTGAAGCTGGAACGCATCTTCATGGACTGGTGCTGGTGGATTCTAGCCGGTCTACCCTTCCAGCATCTGGTGCGGATCATGGACTGCTACTTTCACGAGGGCATCAAGGTCCTGTACCGCGTGGCCCTCGTCATACTCAACCTGTTTCACAAGGAGTGCCAGTCGAACAACGAATGGAGTCCGGACAACATCAAGAACGACATTGGCAACGCTTTGATCAAGTTCTGCAAGAAGATACCAGTGTCGCCGGCGAAGCTGCTCCATGCCGCGTTTAGTATTAGGGGACTGAGGTAGCTATGAACTTATTATAAACTATCAGATCAGTTTGTAACACCAGATTTCTTCTATTGCAGTACCCAGTATATTTCTAGAATATTTATCAAGACTGAAATGCTACTAAAAAGCCGCTCCGTGCTCACCAGCGGTTCGAAGCAATTAATCAAATCGCGTTCAAGTGATAATCTGCCCACTAGTCAGTCGCAGGTCAACATCCAAATGATGTCCCACACCCTGACCATCCGGGAGGTATGTGAATTAACCCCTAACCCAATCGACGCCCCCTCCAACCCACCATCACACAGCATACACAGCAAACACAGTACACAGTGCAAAACAGAGTACAGAATACAGAATACAAACAGAACCCGAGTTAGGCAATCCTTCAGTTAGTAATGACCCAAATGAAACCATTCACACAGCACAGCACTACAAGCAAAACACCTTGTCTAATGGTAAACTCTGATTTATTTTTATTCGTTTTCTGTTTATGTTTCTCTCACAACTTCTGCAACTCTGAAACAACGCACCCAATAAATAAACAAAACCAGAAGCTGCACTCCGAGAGCTGTCGCAATTTGGTATGAGGCCGTAAAAAGCTATACAAAATTATTATTGCAAAAGAAGATGCCGATGTTTGATTGATTCTGCTTGTTCTGTTGTTTTCTTTCCACACTGTCTTTGAATGAGTTGAATCTACATTCCATTTGATTAATTTACTCGAGTCGCGTTTCAAAGCATGAAAATAGGAAAGTTTTTAATTATAATTTAAGGCAACTACGTGTACATACGAAAAGTTTTAGTTCGGAACCAACTGGATCAAGTCCAGTTCATTCTCAAACTCCCCGAACTGATTCGACTCGATTTTTGTGTCCGTTCTGCTTCCACTTGACTTTTGTGTTGTGTTGTGTTTTATTTTGTCGTTTATTATTTCGCGGAATGAAATAACTTGTCGCCGCCACTGTTTCGTTACTTATCATTCAAAGCGAATGCACAGCCTCAACAATAACCACACTTATAGTAACCACACCAAATAGCTTTTTATTCGTTTTCGTTGCTTTTTGTTGTAATACAAATAATATATTGCAAAGCCTATACTCACATACAGAAATAAACCAACATAAACCAACAATAATCCTCAAGTGAATTTGCTCCATATATGAAATCAATATATAAAACGTTATTTCTATTTTTCTTGTACTTTTTTTGCTGCCTTGGCAACGAATGAATGAATATTCATATTAACGATACTACAAAAATAATAATTGCGAAATACAATATAAATTTGCGTACGCTTGGTCAATGTATACATACTTTTGAATTCGGTGAAATACATTCCACGGGTTCATTGGCCGCATTTGGGTGCATTCTGTTAAATATTTCATCCATCATGATTATGTACAAACTGTAGGGTGAGAAATCGCCCGGTCATAGAGCCATCGCGATGGGCGTTTACCCCATACACAATCTGAAAAGTCAAGCTTGTAAGAACGAAGATGTAAGTGAAAGTCAAAGTCCACTCCACTCCAATCCACTCCACTCCCACCGAGATACCAACAAAACACACTTTATTCGTATAATATGTATACCTCCAATATGTTTTGAAGCTTTGGCTCACGTTTTATCCACTCACTTACTCCATTCAAACCACATAACCAGCTGCATGTAGTGCCAGAATTCCTTTTTCACCGAATGGAAACTAGTTGATTTACTCCATTCTTAAAGTTTCGTTTACGTTTTAATTTGATTTGCCTTAATTTATTAGTTTTCCGTGTAGTTGGCAATTCTTTCACTATAACTGATGATCTCTGAGTTTTAGACACGTCAACCCGACTCTTTCCTAGAGAAGTTGTTAGATTGAAGGGTGTAGGAGAGTCAGCTAGCACATCTATAAGTCGATTTCATGTGTCCTCCCCAGATCTCATCCGCCACATTCATATAATTTTTTGCTATATATCCATCTATATCTTTTCATAGCATTTTGGTTTGCCGGGCACAAAGAATTTTATAAAAACCTGGACGGATAGACAATTTGTAAGCATTGCATTGCATATTGAAAACCCTCCAACCTGTTTTCCCCCTTTCCATTGCCATTACAATCCGTTCCATAATTCCATTAAAAGTGAATGCAATTATTCCTCGAAACTCCTATCCAAAATTCCAAAAAAGTTGTCATTCCGTGTCGTCTTAGAAAATATTTTGGAACAGTCCCCGTCTATGTAATAGTCTCACTGTCCTGCTGTTATTAATTGTTAGTAGTCTGCATTTCATCTGAGAATCGGAGAGTCGCGCAATAAATAGATTAAATTAAATTCACAACACGCTTACAGTTTGAGAGACGCCGCGCCACAGTTTGAGATGCGCTGCTGCCGTGCCGCCGCCGCTGCTTTCAGTTGGATTTGAAGCACAGTTTGACAGTTTGCGCCACAGTTTATTCTCCGTAGATTGTAGACCTCATCGAGAGTTGCTGCCTCTTATGTGTTACGTAACCCCGGCTTTTAGTTGTCTTTTCGTTGAACTTTTGGCCTTTTAGTTCATGTTCTTTCACTCTAATTTACCCACGCCAACGTATTTCGTTCTGTCATTGGCTAATTGCTACCCCTTTCAATACGTTACTCGTAGTCGTAGCCAAGTTATAGCCTTCAATCGTGTTTGGATGAGTTGCTAACAAATGTGCCATTCGTTCTCCCATAGCTGTTCACGCTGTGGTCCTGGCTGCCCGTGCGGATAACAATGTACCAACCGGTGCTGCTCTACACCACGGAGGAGCACGGCTGCTCGCTCACCACGTTCTACGTTCGTGTGGAGCAGCATGAACCCACGCTGCTCATGATCAAAACGTGCAATAATGAGGTGAGTTACCAGGTTTCTTGATGTGAAAACTTTGTAAATTAAATGCTGCTCTCGTCTTGCTCTTAGGTATTTGGTGCCTACTGCTCCTCGCGCTGGTTTGAAAGAAATGTAAAAGATGACAAGGGCCAGCGACAGGCCTACTTCGGTACCGGCGAGACCTTCTTGTTCTCCCTCTATCCAGAAAGAGCCAAGTACCCATGGGTGGGCATTGAGGGCGACAAGGACCTGGGACACAGCTCCGAGCTGTTTATGGCGGCCGACTCCAAGATGATCACTATTGGTGGCGGGTAGGATTCATGCTGCTGGCTATCACCGCCCCGGGTGCTATTATTCATTCTCCATTCTATCTTACAGCGAGGGGCAGGCCATCTGGATGGACGAGAACATTCGTTTCGGCAAGACGGACAGCTGCAAGACCTTCAACAATCCGCCGCTGTGTCCATCGGGCGACTTCGAGATCCGGGTGCTGGAAGTCTACGGCTTCGTGGGCATCTAAAAACCTCCGTAGTCTGACCGACATTGCCCGCCGATGATTAAGTGCTCAGCAAAACTGCTCGACGTTCCCCCCGCGTTTCCTTAACCAACTCAAACACCTACAGATTGCTTTCGCTGATGGTACCAAGATGAGCAAATGTGTAAACATTTATAAAAGCTGATTTATAAAAATGTATCGAAAGTGGCCAAGCAGCAGTAAATGCCGCCGTCGTCGTGTTAATGTTAAATGTTAATGAAAACATGCAAAACTAAACAAATTATATATTATATAATGGAAATACTCTGTGAGTTCATGTTTCAAAACGCAAAGCTTTGAAATTACAATACCCTAGTTGTTATAACCCCTTTACATATATATACATGATATCTATGCAAGTATATATAAAATGAATTATAATATGTATATTTATATGTAAAGCGTATTTCGATAGCCATGTACCCGGAGCAAAGAAAAAATATTCCTTAAAAATTGAAAGCAGAATACAACACCGGAAAACTTGGGCTGCAACATCATTTTTGTTTGTTAGCGTTATTATTTCATTTAATTTATAAATACTGTATTTTTCTTTCTGTAAACCAAATTTACTGACTTGACTGAATTCGTTATTAATGTTATTAATATTATTATTGCTACGTGTATAGAAAGTGTAACTTGTAAATTGCATTGAAAGCAACTGAATGTTTCTGAAAGTTGTCCCATTTGGTCGCAAAATATAGAGATAAAGTAAAACCAAACCTCTTTCGATTAGTGCTGCTGCTGACGCCAATGATATGCTCAGATACTACAGATATATACTATAACTATTTAGCACCCAAGTAATACATATAAGGCCAAAGTCCTTAGGCAACGGAATTTGTAGTCGGTTCAAAGTCCAAAATAAGTAGAGGTAAAGATTAGGCAGTGGAGAGCTTCCACCCATGTGCAATTGATCTCAAAACGAAAAAGAAAGCGGAAAACAAAGAAATGTATTACAAGTTGAAGGCTTCATAAGTAGGCATAAACAAAAACGGAGAACAATCAATAATTATTTTAAGATTCCATTCCATTTTCAATACCAACGAAATTCTTTGCTCACCTCCACCTCCACCTCCACCTCCTCCTAAAAACTGAAAAACTGCACGTACACAAAATTTTGCACATTTTTCTAGTCAATTTTTATGTTTTACAAAAATAACATGGTGTGTCTCTTTCCATTTCCCTCTAACTGAACACTCATTTGCCTTTGAGTGTCTGCAAATTCCGATGGCTAATGGATCGTTGCACTACTCAAATGAATTGTTACATTTAAACGAAGAACTACAACGAATTGCGGGGAAGGGACAGTAGTGACCACAGATTGCAGAATGCGATGGGTAACACTCCACAACTATTTCATTGAGGAGCTGGTACTCCACAATTCCCGAACCCAAATACCATACCCTACAAATTATTAGGCCCATCCAACAAACCCAGGTCACCTGCAATCAGTGAGAGTACTGAAAGGTGCAGCAGTGGGAAGCAAACTAAATATGAATAGTTTTAGGTTTTAAACAAGCTCTGTGTGTTGTTGTTACTATGATTCAATGTATATGTACGCAGCATTATATAAACGAACTACATTATATACCCAACTACAAAGCAAGTTAAACAAGTTGATCCATACATTGCAAATCTGTTTGTTATTTGTTTCTGAGTGTGCATCGTGTTGAAAAAGTAAATTTTACTGTATTTGGTTGACTAATGCTTACACGCTGATGATATCAATTGTTGATAGAGTTTAAGTCGAGGATTGCTTGTGGCATTGACGCGGCAGTTGTCCTCCATGGGATCATAGAGATTCTTCCGGACAGCGCCAGCATGGACAGTATTTGTTGAAGCATAGACAAACACAATCTTTTGTACATAAATTGTTTTCTATCTGAATTGTTCTCAATGTGTAGTTTGTATACAATATCTTGATAAATATCCACATATTATATTTGAATGTTATTTATGTGTAGCCCAGAAGTGTTATAAATACAATCCGCAGCTGAACCCACTAAGATAATAATCCAAGATGTTATCTGTTTACCCACATACAATAATTTATGCTAGAAACTGGATATAAAGGCAAATCTAGACGTGTTTGTCGATCACGAAATCAATCGACTAGAAATTGAAACAGAAATTGTGTGTATCGGCTTGGAAGTGTTATTTTTATTTATTTTATGAATATTTTGTAATTAATGATCCTAATTGCAATACACATACACATACTTACATACACACGCTAATAGAGTAGGGACGAGTAAATTTTATTCAATAAATTATATTAAATCAAACAAGTATAATTATATTATATAAATATATATGTATGTTAAATCATTTTAGTGGCTGTATAAAAACAATGGAAAGAAAATAAAAATAAAAAGAATAAATATAAAAAATTAGCTTTTTGATTCTCCTGTGTAGTTAAATTTGCAACATAAGCCATCTGCCCTATTGATGTACGAATATGGGGTTAAAGTTCGCGCTCAATGTGTATAATGTGTGTCGTGTTGAATGTTAGTAAGTTGGACAAGAAAACAACAATCTTAAATGCTGAAGTAGATTATGTTTAATAGGAAACATTGAAATACGACCGCTGTTCCACCTCCACTTCCGCTTTTTCCTAGTTCGCAAGTAGGATCAGCAGTCCGAGCACCGAAAGGGCACTGGCCAAAGGAAGAGTGGATAATCCAGCTGCTGCGTTGCACAAGTCCGTGTTGCAGAGTGTGCAGCCCAGGAAATTCATGAAGGGCACCACCGGATCTGGTCCATCGTCGCAACTAATGCCTGTCGGTGAGGCATCGCCAAAGTAGCAGGAGCGCCTCACGAAGCGCGTGTCTCCTGGCACTGCGAAAAGTGCGTCATTTTATGAGGCGTATTCTTGACATACACGTATTTTGCCAAAAGTACATATATACTCACTTCCCTCGTGGTACTTGGTGAGGCAAGTGGCCTCCGCTCCCAGGGATCGCATGTTCGCCACCACGTCGCAATCCGTCGTGGATATGTCATCGCCCACGAATCGCTCCCCACACCCTGGATTATTGACGGAATCGCACTCGTAGCAGGTAATGGCACGGGCTGATGACGACATGCGTATATTCGTGTGTCCACGGAGCACACAGAAAGGAAAACAATGGGTGAGCTTATGGGTAAACAAGTAGATACAACAACTCCTAGTGTTCTGCAACCATAGGGATGAATGCTAAGACGCTAATTGCTTTTCAGATGCCTGTTACTTTAATTTGTACTTTAGTTATTGAACTTTTTAGACTCTACGTAAACAATGCCAAGCGGATAAAGCCCTTTGTATGACTTTCTTTACAGAGCAGTTTCCCACAGAAAAGTCGTTAGTTAAGACGCCTAATTCACTGAATAAATCGCGTCGACAATCGTCTCCTTCTGGGATATTTCCAATATGAACTACAATTTCGGGCCTTCCTGCTTGAGTGATGACTGGCGGGCACAAAGCTCACCTGAGCTGGCCAGCGTGACGAGCAGAAAGAGCGAGGCAAGCACTGCCATCATCGCCCCCGAAAACAGTTGATTCCACTGTCTGTCCGGCGGTCGCGGTGAGTCAGTTCAGCTATAGCTGCGGCAATGGCTATGGCGATGCCGACGCCGATACGTGCTCGAACACAGATGTTGTCTTCTCGGATGCCGGACCGATTTTAATCACATGATAGATGCGCTATATAGCCACAAACCGCCGACCAACGACCACCGGCCACCGACTCGAAGCGATGCACACACGCGACTGAACTAAACAGAAACTGAACTGAACGTGCGAACAATCGCATTCAGAATGTGAATGTGAATTTGATTCTCATAACAGATTTTCACTTCTCCATCGCTCGCATTTCCCTGGCCAAAGCGCGTTGACATAGTTCCATGCCCTGCCCTGCCCTGCCTGCCCTGCCTGCCCTTCCCTGGCATGCCCTTTCCCCGCCCATCCGTTTATTTCAGGCAAGGTTCATTAGTGGCATTTGAACAAATAAACAATTTGGCATTCTGTGTAAAATTAGTTTTTATTAGTTTGTATTCGGATCGCCTGAAATTTGTTTGCCAGCTTTACGGCTCATGTGTGCTGAGGTTGCCCATACGCCATGTTCGCCGTTGATTAGCCATTAATACAGTGGGCAGACTTGGCTAAATGGTTTTGTGGATGGTGTGCTCTACTAATGTGGGCTCCACCTCCACTAATTGATAGTTCTGGGCCTGGGGACTACATCTAAATTGAACTAGGTTTACTTAAGCTACTGTGCCTTTTACTGTTCATTTCATGCTCCACATTTCCATTTCCATTTCCACTTCCACTTCGTCTTCTGTCGCCTCAGAGTAGTTGAGGTGCCAAGAGAAACAAGACCAGACTGGCGATAATCTCCCATTTATCCACTGGACGCCTTTCCGATCCATTGCAGTAGTTCTCGCTGTCGCACACATGACAACTTGAATTCTGCACCGCCGTGAGGGTGGGGTCCATTTTGCACCACACATCGGTGGCATTTACCTCGCCAAAGTAGCAGCCTCTGACGATCTTACGTACGCCATTTTCTGCAGAAGCAAAACATTGAGTTAGTCTACTTTCGGGCTTTTATTTACGATGAATTAAAAATATTTTTCATTGTCCGTCTTAATGGGCTTTTATCCAAAATATCAAGAGATCGTTGGATAGTCTACGAAATTTTTCTGAAATAAGGTCATAGCTGTCTGTATAAGCACGTATATAATATATGACATTTTCACAAAATTAATTTTATTTGTTTTGATTTGCGTCACAAATCATTTAAGAAATTATTATCTGAAAGGTAAATACAAATCTCAGACGAAAACATTTCGAATTTTTAATTGTTATACAGACTTCAGAAACACAGTTTTTTGTCCACTGGTTATCGGAGTGCATTTCTTGAACTGGATATCAAATGGCAAAAGGTCTCCAGATTTCAATGTTAAATTCAGAATATTTTAGTGTAAACTTCTATGAGACATCCTGAGATTAGGGAGACATATATCATTTTTAGCTGCCACACAGGTGAGACAACAAATGCTGATTATGCATCGAACATTCAACATGCGTGCAAAGCTACATTTCATGTGGTGGCACGTCAATTGGTTCATAACAAGTAAAGTTACTATTTGATCAGGATTCGATTAAACTCACCCTTGAACACCCGTTTCAAACAGGCCGTGGCATTCACGCTGAGCAGATCGTTCTCCAGAAACCGCGGTGGAGCAATAAAGGCGCAGTCGAATTTGAAATGGTTCTCGACTTCGAAGTCGTCGCCGCAACTTGCCTCGTAGACGGATTCGCAGGCGTAGCACTTGATGGCGTAAGCTAGTGGCATTGGGAGATGCGTCTTATTTATGGCAGATATGAGATCTCACAAAACAAAGTACAAATTTTACAAGACCAAATCCAAAAAGAACAAAACAAACCTGAGGCCAGCGGCGAGATGAGCGCGCCAAACAAAAGTAAATAATGCTGCATTGTTGATGGGGAGCAAATCGGGTTGCAACCTTTCTCGTTGGTGATTGGAATTGGTTTTATTTGATGGTAGGAACGTAAAATGTAAACACGCGTTTAAATTTTCCTGACTTCTCGATTGTTTCTAGATTTTCCCCGAGTTCCCGGCTAAATTCTTGGTGCCGTCTGTCAGTCGACGTCCGCACACGAAATCGAACTAAAAGAATGCCAAAAGCATTTTCCAAATTCAACTCCTTGCTGTCTTTCTCTTTTTTGTTTAACGCTCTCTTTCTTGTGTGGTGAAAACACCTTATGGCCATTTCGCCTGGCGTCATCGCTCAGCGTTTTAATTTGTCTAAATTTAATGAACATTTTGTGTTAGTGTTTTCCTCAACTGAGTGGAGACTTGTAGATTGAATGGGGCCAATTCCAGAAGTGTGCCCAGGCACGCATGGATTTTCTGCTTCCCCAACGGGAGCCTATCAGTTAAAACTAGCAATTATCTCCCAATAACCGTACAATATCTACACATAAATAGAGTGCGTTTAATGTGGGCAAAAGAGTTTAAAAGGGTGTAACAATTACAAGAGATTCAAAGGATTTCCCACAGGCGAACTCGATATGGCTGCGATAGCTCAGCGGTACTAAAACTGGCTCCTAGCTCAGGCCAGCAGACGGGCCAAGCCAAAGAAGAGGATGACTCCGGCGATGGGGGCCAGGGAAGAGGATCCGTTGCACTTGTCCTCGGTGCAAATCGCGCAGTTCATAAACTTGCTGAGCTTATTATTGGGATTATACTGACAGCCAACCTTCGTGTTGGAGATATTGCCAAAGTAGCAGGACCTCACGATATGAGGGTTACCCGGTTCTGCAAATAATAGGATAAATAGTATTACAAAGTAGCTGTAGCATAACAAGCTACAATGGGCAATCAAGCAAATTGTGAACAAATCACTTATAAATGTACTGACTGCTGTGTTAATGTCTATTGTTCATGATGCATTTTTAGCGACTAATCTCGGACTTTATCATTATAGAGTAATGAATCAGGATGTACATATATTATAAGAGGAATATGTCGCTGATGGTGTTATTATTATCTGTACCTTCTCCATACATTTAAGAGTATGCCACATTCATCATGCGTGGTTTTTCCATAGTCAACATATGTATTATTCATATTCATTATTCATCAAAGTTATTTTGTAATCTTTGATATTTGATATTTTGCTGCTTTAGAAATGAATCATATTCTAAAGTACAAGTGAAAACTCAACATAAATTTCTTAAGAGGGAATGGTTTCGCGTGGGCATCGATATGATAAAATTTGGTTATGGCCGATCCCCATCAGATTACTTACTCTCAAGGGTCCGCTTCATGCAACCGGTGGCGTGTATAACTGGCTTTGGATCTGACCTTTTGAACTTTAGAATGGAGGAAGTGGTAGATGGCTGTATCGGGGAGCAATCCGAAATGAGCACACTATCTGGCTTAAAGTCCTTTCCACACTTGGAATCAATAACGGAATCGCACTCATAGCACCTAATGGCGTACCCTAGGAATTGTAGACTATGTACATTAATTCGAATGGTAATTCCTTTAACTTTCATACCAGTGCAGGCTGCGGTGGCCAAGACGGTGAGAGCCAAGATCATTTTTACACTCGACACCATTTTCACACTCTGAAACTATTTTTTGGACAATTACTTAAAGCAAAGCTTGACTGCACGGCAGTTGGCGATCGTTTGAAAGATTTATTCTGGCGTCCAAACCGTCCAGTCCACTTTAAATTTTTTCATTCAATATTCCACTCACTCGAAGTCGAGTTTCCACTCAAAGTAAACGTGAGTGAGTGCGAATCTGTGCTGCGTGTTTGAGTTTTGTGTTTTTGTAGCCATTTCTCGTAGAATAAACGGGTGTACTAGATTCGTTGAAAAGATCTTGGTCACGATCATTAGCAGAGTCGATCTGGGCATGTCTGTCTTACAATTATTTTAAATTTAAATTAATTTACAATTACAATTTAAAACAAGAATGATATAGTCGAGTTCCCCGACTATCAGATACAAGGTACTCTGTGGAAGTGCTAGATACTAATTTCACAATTTTCTGGTTTCAAAGTTTTTTGGCAAATCTATAGAAATTTACAAGATGTATTCAAAAATGGAAAAATATAACAACGTTTTTCAAAATTCTACGTCTATGTCTCTGGAAGCTGCATGCCTTATCTCAACACTCTAGCTTTTGTAGTTCCTGAGATCGAGGCGTTCATACGGACAGACGGACGGACAGAGGGACGTTGCAATAGCTATAGTTATTGCGATGCGGATACGTCCTGTAACGAACTGTTTGTCTTGGTTCCGCTCTCTACGAATTGCAACGGCTAGCTAAGAGAGTTTGTATGTTCGTCCCACAAAATTTATAGCTTGGGTGATTGCCCGACTACAGAGAATACAGGGGTTTTAGGTTGGAACAGCTTTATTGACAGACTTCTTCAACGATAGACTCCTGCAGTCCTCGCCGTCGGCTGAGCGGCGTCGCTCCTTCGTCGTCCTTCCCTTGTTCTCGATCGCTTACCCGTGCCGGCTGGAATGCGGCTTAGGATGTTATGGTGGGGAAGAGTATCGCCCGTTAGGTCAAGGTGACGCTCTTCCCCGAGCCACCTTTGCCGACCAACGGTACCGTTAGTTCCCGGTCTCTCCGCTTTGCTCGGGTCCAAGGACCATCATTTCCCGTTTGACCTGGCTGCCCTTGACTCCTCCTGCATTCCAGCCTTCTTCGCTGTTGCTAGGCAGCTCAGTTTTAAGACTCCTCACAGTGCTCGAATACAGATGTTGTCTTCTCGGATGCCGGACCGATTTTAATCACATGATAAATACGCTATATAGCCACAAACCGCCAACCACCGACTCGAAGCGATGCACACACGCGACTGAACTAAGCACTCTCCAATAAGGTATCCAGGTTTGCTCTACGGTTATTGGCTAGCAGACGGCGCAGTCGATTAGGAGTTCTCGAATATCCAAATCCAAAAAGAACAAAAACAAGCCTGAGGCCAGCAGCGAGATGAGCGCGCCAAACAAAAGTAAATAATGCTGCATTGTTGTGGGGAGCAAATCGGGTTGCAACCTTTCTCGTTGGTGATTGGAATTGGTTTTTTTGATGGTTTATGGAAAATAATTCAAGTGGCGGGCTTATTCATAGCTCTGCTCCGCGCAATTGAAACGATCCGCACGACGTTTGAGCTTACGAAACATATGTTGGCCCAGACTAAAGCCCAGTCTGGCAACACGGCGTAAACAAGTACTAACGCCAAGACCTTTCCTGGAGGACGATATCTTCTGATATCGTCAGACTGGCCACTCTCGACTTCAGCCTTGCCGCGCAACAAGCTTACGGTATCAAATTAACTTTCCATTGTATCTCTTAATTAAATAAAGCGGTAACTACATAAGTTACCATATTGGTGACCCCGCAATAAACAAAATGCTGAATACCGGAGATTCTGCGCCTGCACCGCCAACTTCGCCTGACTCTGGTGAAATTCAACGCGGAAACAGCGCAGGCACCGTTATCCCTGTTGTCGAGTCGGTTGGCGCCATCAAGCTGCCGCCATTTTAGAAGCAAATTGCGCGGTTATGGTTTGTGCAGATCGAAGCGCAATATCAATGCAGCCGCACTTCTTCCGATAATACCCGCTACTACCATTTAAGTGCTTTGGATGCTGATATAATGACTGAAGTATCTGATGTTCTGGCGCAACCCTCGGAAGTCAACAAATACGAGCACCTGAAGGAGATTATCATCAAGCGATTTACGGAATCACCGGACAGACAGTTGCAGCGCGCTTTACTGGAGCTTGCCCTTGGGGACAAGAAGCCCTCGCAGCTCCTTGAAACGCGACATCGCTGCCATTAATGCCTCTTTAACTCTTCTGCAGGACATGCTGCCTCCCAGCCATTCTCGCCCAGCCGATCGCAACGAGCAGCAACTCCGAGCACCACGGGTCTGCTTTTATCATGCCAAATTCAGACCTGATGCACGAAAATGCTCCTCGCTCTGTGCCTGGGAGCCACAGCAGGGAAACTAAAGAAGCTGTCATCTGTTCAGGCGACTGGTGACAGCAGATCTCCAAGCACTCTCCCCCAAAGGAGCACCGACTTCACATAATCGATCGTAATACCAACGTAAAATTCCTTATCGATTCCGGATCAGTCATCTCACTCATACCTGTTTCGATAATCAAGGGAATGCATCGTCGCAAAGACGACTTCAAACTCTACGCGGCCAACACGTCTATAATTGATACCTACGGCTCGCTAAATCTAACTTTTGTTCTCAACCTACGGCGTAAGTTCACCTGGTCGTTCGTCGTTGCGAACGTCCAATCAGCAATCAACGGAGCAGATTTCCTACGCACCACGGCCTCAACCTCGACCTCAAGGGTAAACGCCTTATGGATCCCTCAAAAGCTGTTTCGACCAAATGAGAAGTTGCAGAAGCAAAACTCTACAACGTCTACAATCAGCGTGCAAAGTTCCAGTGGAATAGATCGCCCGTACTCGAATCTTCTTAGTCGCTTTGTGCAGATCACACGTCCTAATGAGCCTTTAGCAACCCGCATTCATAATGAGGTTGCGCATTACATTTAAACAACGGCCCACCTGTTTTCGACAAGCCAAGACGGCTTACAGGCGAAAAATTAAAAGCGGCACGCCGGGATTTCGATCTCTTACTCCAGCAAGGAGTGATTCGTCCCTCCAGCAGCCAGCAGTCCCTCTTCAACGTCTGCATGGATGCTCGGTTTTCTCCACAATCGATTTTGTGCGTGCCTACCACCAGATCCCACTCGCGCCAGATGATATTCCAAAAACAGCTGTCACTACACCGTTCGGCCTTTTCGAGTTCGTCGGCAAGCCACCCGGACTGCGCAATGCAGCGCAAACCTTCCAGCGCCACATGGACAACCTGCTTCGTGGCATTCCATTCTTAGGATGCTATATGGACGACATCACCGTGTTCTCCACAACGCATGAGGCACCCTCAAAAGTGCCAATTTGGTAAAAGTGAAGTAATTTTCCTAGGGTTCCAAGTCAACGCGAGCGGATTCAAGCCCCCTGTTGAGCCCACGCAAGCAATCAACAATTTTCCCAAGCCTCAAACTATCATGGAATTGCGCCGGTTTTTGGGAATGGTCAATTACCGACACCTCATACCACACGCAGCTCA